AAGAATTTAATTTCTTTCTTTTCCATCAACATTGCGAAACTTTGTTTCACTCAAATGTTTTGTTAGGCCGCGTGAAAGAGGAAGATTGCTACATGCTGTTAGCCTGCATTCTTAAAGGTCGGCTCGTCAAAAGCCCTTCCGTTCCCACAAAGGCGGGAATGTAAACTGTTAGAGGGAACACACAGAAGAAGAGGTTCACTTTTCCATGGTCCAGTTCCACAGCCGGGGATATCGTCGTTATCTTTATTTAGACATAACTGTGTTCCCGGCGAGTACAATATCATCGGCCGCACTTTCTCTCTCCGCATAACGGGGCCCCCCCCTCTTGTGTAACGGCACGAGGAGAATGAACGTTGAGAAACGGCACGTCGTCGTCGTCTCGGCCGGTCTCTATATCCGTACGCGTAGCCGCTGTTGATTGTGATATAAAGGGCGATCCATAACATCATCGCGCATCAAGTCGCGCGACGACACATTTCTTGGACGCGCACGAAATCGATGCGTCCGCGTCGTGGGGAATTTTTACCGGACCCCACTTTACCCCCAAAAATTTTAGTATTTAATTATATCATTATAACTAGCATTATATTATTATAACTTTTTTAAATTAATATTTTATTAAAGCAATATCCACGCGAAGTTAAATAAAAAAATAACATTTTGTCGGTTTATTCCGTTAAGAAAATATAATTGATGGAGATTGTTAAATTCTTTTATAATAAGTTATAGGTGCAAAAGATATATCTGTACTGAATATATACATATACTTATTTATCTACGAATATGTAACGGTATAGTGATTTATCCGATAACATTGTGCCCATTTTTTTCGTGGATGATGAGATGACAAAATTTGGCAAAAAAATATCGAATTAATCGTTGTGAATGTCTTGAATTGAATCAACCTAATTTTGAAAAGATTAAAATAAGCTTATATTATAGATAAATTATCGATTTATCTCTATAGAGATTTATTGTGAGATTTATTATTATCAGTTTATGACGATACGTTGAAAGAATTTGATGCGCGAGTTTGCACAGCAGGCGTTTACGTTCTCCACTTCCGGGTTAAGCATTTTGAAGTCAAATCTAAATTAATTCATTTATCATGATTCGTCGGTTAAAAAAAAATCTATCTAATTATCAAATAATTTAATAATTTAATAATTTAATACGCGTTATTTATTTTTAACATTTTGCTTAATCTTTTCCACCTGTCGAACATTTAAACACAATTCACAACGCGAACGAGTACTCTCAAATTAACGAATTCCCAGATTGGAAGACCCTTCCGAGGTAAAAACAGCCCGCAACAGTCGACGCAATCGACGCGTCATCGTAATTGACTTAACGATCGGATTATGACGGGGCGCGCCCTCGGAGCGGCGTGTTAGAGCCGGCCGGGGTAATAATAGTACAAAGTGGCCTGGATATATTACGAAACGGAAATGCATCCACCAGCCACCCGATGCACCGCGCCGTGGCGCGGTGCGGCG